ATCGCTATTAAATTCCCTCTCCAAGATTGTATCTTAAGTCCCAAAATCCAAGAAAAAACTCCGTAATTTTGAATCATTCCTTAGTTTAATCGCAAAGCAAAGCATCCAAGAAAGGAATTGCATCACTCAATTCACGCACAGAAACTCACTGTAATGATTATGGATTTGTTGACCCAACAATGAAATGGATGGAATTGAACTCTCACCCACCACCGTTTTCTTCTCCTCCACCAACCCAACATTTTTGAGTCCGATTCACTGCCACCAAACGCCGTCGTTTCCATTTCAACTACCATGATCACCATCCTTCTTAAACCCATTCTTAAATCTCAGCCCCGGATTAGATTTACGCCTTCTTTCCCTCTTTCCCATGGATGCTGCCAGTTCTCGTCCCGCTGTAGTAATTGATAATGGAACTGGGTATTTATTGATTGTTCTTTTAGTACAAAATGTTTGATAAATATTCCATGTGAAATCAACTTAATTGAGGGTTACGGGAATGGATGTTTCTGAACTCTTTTTTCTCTGGATTTGATTACTTTCAGGTACACGAAGATGGGTTTCGCAGGAAATGTCGAACCGTCTTTCATACTTCCCACAGTAGTTGCTGTAAATGATTCATTTGTAAACCAGACGCGAGCCAGTTCTACAAAGGGCAGCAATTGGTCAGCACAGCATAGCGCGGGGGTGATGGCGGATCTGGATTTCTATATAGGGGAAGAAGCTTTGTCTAGATCTAAATCGAGTAGCACTTATAATTTGAGCTATCCCATTAAGCACGGTCAAGTGGATAATTGGGATGCAATGGAAAGATTCTGGCAGCAGTGTATATATAATTATTTGCGATGTGATCCAGAGGATCATTACTTTTTGTTGACTGAAAGTCCCTTGACTGCGCCGGAAAGTCGGGAATATACAGGAGAGATTCTGTTTGAAACTTTTAATGTTCCTGGGCTTTATATTGCAGTGCAGCCTGTTCTGGCTTTGGCTGCTGGGTACACAACATCCAAGGTTTGGCATTATATTCATTATACTTCATTTTGTTTCTGCTTTGAGACTTTTTGTAATGCATTTTTTTTT